CTTGCCGAAACAGAAACTGGACGGCGGATGCCATTTTGCTCCCAGGTGTCAAGGAGTGCAGAGCAGAACGCGTCCGCACTCAGGTGCCTGCTCCTGAATGACACAAGGTCGAACAGCTGCAGGAGCGACTGGTGCCACCAGAGAACATGCTGGCCGTCTCGCTGGAGGTGGAGGTCCCACCCAGCCTTAGTGTCGGGTAGGCAGTTGAACTCTGTGGGACGCATGTTATGAAACGCCCGACAGGGTGTGCACCAGCACACAGGGACATCTACGCATATGGGTTGCTCCCAAGTAATGATGGTCACAGGGCAGGTCCGTCCCCCTTCGGGGGAGCGCACGGCGCACCGGGGGCACGCCTCAGGTCTGCTTCCCGCCAGGCTGCGAAGTACGCCAGCGCTGCTGTTCAGAAAGCAAGTCCGGCTCTCCGCGGCTGCTGCAAAGTCACGCACGTACGCTTCCCGCACATCTTGTGCTAACGTGGACTCTGGTCCGGGCTCTGGTTCTGGTTCCTCCTCGGCTGCGCTGAAACCGTCAGCATCTTCCGATGCTTCCACGTCGCCAGCGTCTTCACGGTGAATCGGATCAAAATCTTCGAGCTCATAGGTCGCGTCGTTATCAATGTTCACCGGCGCCTCTTGCGCATTGGCACTTGGGACAGCTACGTTTGTCGAAAGGCTCGGGGGCTGGGCATTCCGAAGCTGCTTTGCTCTATCCCGTCGCCTTTTATTCCTCTTTGCATTGGCAATGCTCTTCTTAATGGGGTCCTCGACCTTAAGCTTCATCAGCGAGTGAAGTTGGTAAGGCAAAGCTATTGTTTGTATTCACCTAACCAACAGAGCCAATTTCGCTTACTAACTGTCTACCTCATGCAATGGGAAATTTCGTTTGAAGCATTGGTTTGCTGTAGGGATGGGTAGTATATGCCGTACAAATTGGTATGGTGCTGGGCCGTCGGGAAGGTCGCCGGGATTGCGGGAAATCGATGGCGCTAGGCGGCGCGAGTCACTCCTGGACCTTCCCTAACTGGTCGGGCGCGTCCGGTGAGGGCGCTTCAGCCACGGCGAAATACTCCCCAGGGAAAATCGTTTGGGGAGATTCTCAGGCTCCCCAAGGGGAGAGAGCCCCGGTACAAACGGCCCTCCCCAACGGCAGAGGTCCCCACAGCTTGGGGACGCTGCCATAGCTGTACATTGACGTATGTATGTACAGCGGCAGGCCCGAATGATAGATTCGTTTCACAAATGGTCTGCTGATGTGGTCCCCGAGGGCCCTACGTAGCTACCCCGGGGGATTCTCCCCGGGGGTCTGGGGCGCCCTCGCTGCAGCTGTAACACCTGATACTACCATCCGCATACAACGAGCACTGCGTGCATTCTTCATCGTTCCTTATTACACTTCAGCATATGATCCACAACCGCCACCGAAAGACATGCATGGCTTGCAGTATTAGTGAGCTTTCTTAACTCTGCAGCCTTGGACTCCGACGTCGTGCGTTGCTGCTGGGTCCCCGTTGGTCGTACATTTTTATCACACACTCAGGCACATCAAAAGCGCGCACACCTAGTGTGCTCTGTGGCAGAGCTGCCAACACCGCCAAAAGCGGCTTCTCAACTAGTAGCACCAGTTGACTAAGCTAGCGAGTTTTTTCTTGACTGCTGCCATGATTGGCACTAGATACTGGACATGGTTGGCAGCCAGAGTTTTAAGATGGCTCAGAGTCCTGCGCAGGCATGGAAGCTGCCCAGCTCAGCATTCCGTCAAGTTTTAAGGACTCGAAATTACATCTGAATAGGTTTGAACATATAAAACCGGCCCCAGGACGGGGACTTGCTACTGTTGAAGAATTCAAGGATTATTAAGCACATTACTAATCGTCGTCTGCTATGCCAGCAGCGCGTCGACAGCCAAGTGGCCGACGCATGTACTAAATAGTCGACACACTGAAAAGTCATATGTCCAAGATATGTATATGCCGCAATCATGTCCCCTACGGCGGCAAAGCTATCAGAAATGTCGAACACCGTTAACTAGCACCGTTAAAACGCTGTCGCGTGCAAGGCATTCATCAAACGGACAGGACCCGGCTTCATGCCATCCTTCGACGGCTATGCGCCACACCACGCTACCCGCGTGGCCTTCTGCAAAACTCCAAATCACCCTGTACAGGTTCCGTCATTACGCACTCGCATAATGCCAATACGGCGCGTGAGCCTTTCTTCGTTGGCGAGCCACGCTCACCGCTCGCAGCGTGCAGCTTGGCAACACCCCAAGGCGTGCATCTTACGGCAGCGCTCTTTGGTGAGAAAACGCAGCATGATGACAAACACAAAATGCCTGAAGAAGATGAAAACCTATCGCAGCACCGCCTCACGATTTATGAATGACATACTAATGGATAATAAAGAGCAGGGATAACCGACACGCGGACATACATACGCGCGCGATGTCCCCTTCTAACATGCGCCGTCTCATGCATGTGCATGCCGACAACAATGCCTCCATCGAGAACGGAATTCCCAAAACATCCTTCAAACCACCAGCTCGACGCGGTTTCGTGGTTTTGGCAACAAGTCCTTGAGAAAAGCGGATAGCCCTTTTGCAGCTCACCCACCATATCTTAAAAAAACCCAACACCGCTTGCAGCACTGCTACTGCCGTATGCATTCTGTTGCATTCTCTTGCATGAGTTACGCAGCCAAACACCAGCCCTACCCATCCTTTTGCCGCCCCTCCAGCAGGCTAGCACGACACGGAACATGACAGACAGCACAGCACCGCACTGGGTTCTGCTCCTGTGTGTTGTATCACTTCTTATCGCAGGAAAAGAACCGATCGGCGGATGTCAATCCCGTGATACCCAGGATACTACACTGTGCCGCTTGTACACCGGTAAGTGAACCCACGCACGGCACCAACCGACATATCTGCCGACAAAGCCGCGCTATGGGCACCCTGCGGCCGCCTGGCCTCCTTCCCCCAGCAGCTCCGCCTGATGAGCCAGCTGGGCGTCCCGCTCCGCCAGCCGCGCCTGAAGGGCATCCATCTTGGCCCGCCAGCTGCAGCGCTGCTCCCGGTGCACTTGCGCCGCATACTCCGCCTCGACGCGGTCGCTTAACAGCATCGCTTCAGCGGCCTGCAGCCGCGCCTCCAAGTCTGACATGGCGGCGTCTACTGCCGGCATGGCCTGGCGCACGATGGCCATGTCCAGGGAGGGGTTGAACAGCGCGTCACGCTGCTCCTCCACCTGCAGTTTCTGCGCCATGAGGCTCTCATATTTGCGTGTATAGATCAGAAAGTCGGCCTTCACGGACTGGTGCTCGTGGATGGCGGTTGCGGCCTCGCGCTGCGCGGCGGTCAGCTGAGCGCGCAACGGCGCGAGTTCAGCCACTTGCCTACGCAGCCGGCTCAGCTCATCCTGCTGCTCTTGAAGGGTTTTTTGCAGCGGCTCAAAATCCGCGTCTTGATTTTGGAGCTCAGACTCCAGCTCAACCACTTTGAGACGCAGGGGCTCTAGCTCCGAGACCTGCTGCGCCAGCGGGCGCAAGGACTGTAGCTCGGCCAAAAGCGAGGCTCGCTCTGACTCTAGCTCCGACGTGCGCTTGCGCAGGAGCACAACTTCCATCTGTGACGCCTCGAGCAGTTGCTGTTTCTCCGTATTCGTGGACGCGCTTTGCACCGCAGCTTCATGCGTTGAAAAGGGTGTGAGGCGCTGTTGCTGCTGCGGCACCTGTTGCTGCGGACTTGCCTGTGGTCTGTTCGACCGAGGAGGAGTTGAGGGCCGCGACGGCGGTCTGCTTACAGTGCTAGTAGAAGATGGTGGCTGCGGCTGTGGAGCTGATTGAAGGCCTGCGATCGCACTCAAACGCAGGTTTTGGGCGCGGAGCTGCTGTTCAAGTGACTCCGCAGCGCTCCGAAGCTTCGCAATCAGTTCCGAATCGGCTTTGATGATATCGTCCCGAGCCTGTCACGGTCACGGTCACGCAGCAGTCTGAATTAGCCAAACGACTAACAACAAACTACGCAGTAGCAATACCCTACGCCTCCTTAAAAAATGGGTGACCATGCGGTATATACCCACCTCAATCTCCTGCTGCTGCTCTTGGATGACGCATCGCAAGGATGCTGCCTCGCGCGAAGCCTTCTCTGTCTCCCGCAACACAGCTTCCACAACGCGTTTTGCTGGATTCAGATCAGGACCATTTACAGGTGCCGCACGAGTTCGAAACATTTGCTTCGCAGTCGAAAGGAGAGGTTTGACCGGACGAAGGGCAAATTGTACCCAAAGACAGCTCTACGCCTGTTGGCTAGAAAAGTCGTGTATCACCTCAATGTGGCAGAGGGATACAGGTTAAGTCCTAATTAAACCGCCAATGCCGAGGGAGTGCAGTGAAGCGTGAAGCTCTTTATGTACTGCCTAGATAGAGGGTTAGATGCAGCTAAAGTAACTACTATGTTGCTATTGAGAAATTAATGCATGCATGAAGGTACTTAGATGATAAAATGCGTCCGGGCGATAGCGCTTTGAGACTCGCCGTACGGTGGTTCATCAGGCCGTTGGCAACTGGCAATTGCTACAGCACAAACCTGAGAGCACATCCCAATCCAGTCCCAACTGCCTAGTTTTAGACTTCCGATTTTGGATTCCCCTAGTCTAGGGAGATATTGTGGCAGACTAATTCCATCCTTCGATTCGATCCTTCCCATCCTTATGGCTGTGCGCGGGTGCATTAACTACTGCTCGAGTGAAAACAGGATTCTGGCCAAGCAGAAACAACTTTTCAAAGCCAGACTGTTACCAAGTCCCGGAGGCGCCTGAGATGCAGCTCGTTGCCCAGTGTTGGCCGGCGCAACGGTCCTGAAATGCATATTCACCGTCCAGCCCAAAACCTAACTTCTGGAACCAGCAGCCGCCAATCAGTAAAGTATGCCGCATCCTGCTCACGCCGCCTTCACTCCTCGCGACGCCGAGCTAACTACCCCAAACGCGTAAAACGAAGTTATAACCAACAAATCCATAAACCCACACCACGTCTGGCTACGTTGGCTCTTCCGTAGCAATGGCCACACCCATTAACTCTCCTCCTGCGCGCTCAGCACCCCGCCGCTGCCGGTGGAATTCCGCTGCTACCGTCCTCGCCGCCGCCGCCGCCACTCGTTGCTGCTGCTCCTCCTCCTGACCACCTCCGCTGGCTCATTGTGCTGTCAACGGCCGCCAGCTGTGTGAGCAACTCCAGGGAGGGGCCACACAGTTGCTGGGCACTGGGCAGCCGTACAGTGAGGGTGAAGTAGTGGTCTCCCCGCTGGGTGCCGCCACCCCCCGAGGCCGTGTGTGCAATACCCGCCCCGGACAAACACAACACGTCCCCGGGCTGGGAGCCTGTGAAGCGCCGAGGGGGGTGGGCAGATGGGGGATTGCGGGGTGCAGGAAAGGGGTTACAGGGGATAAAAAGGGAACAACACAGATGCCAGGGTGGGGGAGGAAGGGGGGAGGAGGGAGGCAGTTAGGGAAGGGGGTCCACCAATGAAACAGATGGAAAGGGCGAACGAGCGAGGCATTATCATACCCGGCTGGAGCTTGTTGTGCTGCGCCAGCTGTTGTATCACCCGCCAACCCTCTGGCACCTGCTCCTCGTGTCATGTCCTCATGTCCCCTGACGTCCCGTCATGTCATACCCTTTCGAGAGCCAAGAGAATGTCCAGAGCTCCCCCCTTAACCCCCCCAGTAACACTCCACTCAACCACCTTTGCAGGTCTCCCCTCCCCCCCCCAGTCACCCCAGGGCCCCCCTCCTTCGGGGACGCACCAGGCGGCACATGCAGCAGTCTCCCGCCCCGCACAGTCGCCACCTCCACCGCGCCCCCTAGTACGGCCAAAAACACATCCACCGCCAGAACGCTGTGCAGGTCGAAGCCCCTCCGCTCCAGGTTGCTTTCCGGATAGACCTGGTGGGGTGTGTGGTGGGGGGGGGGGGAAGACAGATAGGCGGACGAGTGATGCTGATACGAGAGACAGAGGGATACGCCAGGAATAGGCAGACAGGAATTATGTATGNGGGGAGGAGGGGGGGAAGGAGGGGAAGGAGGGGGGAAGGAAGGGGAGGAGGGGAAGGAAGGTGCAGCGCGAGGCGGGCAGGGCAGAGCAGGGCAGGGCAGAGCAGGGCAGGGCAGAGCAAGTGGCCGAATCAAAGGTGCCTTGACTGCACAGCACACACCATATGCAGCTGTAGTCCAAATCCCCACCCAGCTCGACAAGTCCAAGAGGAAGTGAAGGGGAACTCAGCCAATAGCAACAAGAGATGCCACCTTAGGACTCGGCGTCCAACCACTGCCTGCAGCTATCCCCCCTCCCCATACCATCCACCACCCAGGGCATATTGCCAAACACATAAACCCCTGCCTAGGCCCCCCGGCTTTAAATTAAGACAGACAGACAGACAGATATAAGTGTGTTTTACATACACCGCGGTTGTGTTACCCAGAGAGGTGTAACGAGTACCCATACCAGCCAGAGGCCCAAGAGCCTAAGAGCCACAAATTAGATAAAGAGACATATACAGAACAACAACGCAAAACGTTGTATTACCCAGGCAATTGACACAAAAGAAACAAGTCAACACTAGTCAGCTATGACCGCCTGCGTAGGGACGAGCGTGTAAGCCAAAGGCTATGTACCAGTTTACGTACACGGGCGACTGCATTACAGCAGGCAAACCCTAAGCCCGCCCGTACCCCCCTCCCTCCCCCACCCCTCCGGGCCCTCACCTCCAGCCGTACAAGCAGGTCCCCCGGGGCGCCCCCGCAGCGGCCCGCACCTCCCTCCCCGCACACCCGCAGCACCTGCCCGGAGTCAACCCCCGCGGGCACCTGGACGGCCAGCTCGCGGACCGCCACATGCCGACCGCGACCCGAACAACTGGGAGGACGGCACCGGGAGGGGAGGGGGAGGGGAGGAAGGCGGGATGGAAGAGGGGAAATCATATCATGGTACAAGAAACAAAAGAATCAACTGTCGACTCGGAAGAAAAGGGAGTGAAAGAGAGGGTGACAGAAGGGTGAAGGAGAGAGGGAGGGACTTCCCGCCACACACACAGACTTACACACACACACACACACACACAAACCGATGGTACGAAAGGAGGTTTCTCAAGGAGGTCGGTGGAGGGGAAGGTGGAAGGGAATGTGGAGGTTTGCCGTGAGGACTTCAGCAAAGCGTGTTCTGTAGTACACCATGCAGTGACATTCTCACCAACCTCCCTCCCTCCCTCGCTTTCCCCCCCCTTCCCGCCTCCCTCCCTCGCTTCCTCCCCCCTTCCCTCCCTCCCTCCCTTCCCTCCCTTCCCTCTCTTCCCTCTT